AATATACAAATGTCTAAGACTAATTAACATTGCAATTACAATTAAAAATTATTATTGAGGGTAATTGAAAATTTTAATGCAATTCTATAGATTGTTTGATATTATATGTATGTTAAAATGTGATGGTTGTGATAAAATTAAATACAACTTCAATTGCAATACCAAATTAAAACTCTCAATATCATAAAAATGTATTGGGTCTTCCAAACAAAGCCTGATTATTTCTAGCACCATATGGTTTATTTTTGTAGATTCATGTATGAAAATCATGACGTTGCTTAGGCTAGGGGTAGTTGGTGGAAATTACAGGTGGCAAAATCCTGTTATGTCAGTTATCTATCTTATGTTCAAGAAATATGTAATGGAGGCCACTTGTATTTCCATATATCTGAGGTGTTAAGCTGTTTTTTTTGGACGTTAGGTGACCTTATTTTTGCGTCCTTCGTAGAAAATATCTGGAGTGGAAGCAATAATTTTTGTCTCGAAAAAGGTTTGCATCGGAGAAACGAGAGTGGAAATTAAGAAAGAGGGAGAGAGCGGGTTGACTAGAGAAGTCAATTTTACAATCAAAAGAAAATTTGAGGCGACACTAATTAATTATTTTTGTTTTAGATAATTAATCCCTAAAAAATTATATATATATTGGATTTAATTTAACACACATTAGAATCATTTATAGACAATGGCCAATGCAAATGCAACGGTAGGGTAGGGTGTTTATGGACACCAAAAAGAGTTGAAAAATAATAAAATCTAAAGGAAAATTTTTCATTGGACATCTTCAATTTTTTTCTGATATTTTTAAAATTTTTTAAATTTTTTAACCGATTTATTCATTGTCACTATTCGATACCTAATCATAGTCCACAGTTAATTAACACTTTACATCCAATACATATACATAATAATAAATGATACCCAAAAAAATTTGAGATCTATCACTGTCTATATATCTTTTTTTCACATAGAAGAGCATATTTTTCTTAAAAACATCTCCATTTTTATAGTTTAAAATTCTATCTTAGAAGTTACCAGTTCGAATCTTAGAAAAATAAAGATTTACACTTCCTGACTTTTTGTTTTAACTCAATATTGCATGCATCAAATAAAAAAAAGCTTCGACAACCAAAATAATATCTATATTTATATACCTTGTTAAAAATACATTAATGACTAATTATTTTTAAAAGTTTAAGAAGGTAAAAAGAAATTATCAACATTTAAATTTAAATTTGAAATTGATTAAATCTTGGATATAGTTAACAAGTACAGCATTGATTAAGAGGCGAAATATACCCATTAAATTATGGGTAATAAGATTCCAAATAGCTTTTGCTAGGAACCAAATACTTTATAGTTTTTGTAATGATATTACAAGTACGCGTAAAATTACAGTTTGTCAACGAAGTTGATTAGGATGATAAAGATCGAATATTTCATTACGACAAGCTTAAATTTAATTCTTGCTCTTAATAGGAGATACATATTGACTTTAAAATAAGATAATCTCCACTATTTCTAAATATTTATGTTAAAAAAAATTACATTAGAATAAAGTATTACTCAACATACACGATGACAAAAACTATTATATTAAAAAAAATCAAATTTAAAACTATTATAAAACTACATGAAATTTATAGAAATTTAAAATTTTCGAAATCTCATCTTTACCGTTTAGACAATAGCTTGGCCCCAACACTTACGTTTAAACAAGCAAAAAAGCTTTCGCCACAAGTCAGCAGTAATGTGGGCTTAGGAGTCCACTGATGGAAAGTGATTATTACTCCTCATCGGCTTCTAAAAGCTGACTGATACATAAATTATTGATGGGCTGCTATAATTGAGTTCAGAATGTTTCCTGGAAACTCTGGTAACAGTCGACGAACCCTGAAAGAACTATAATGGGAGGATGTATCATGCATTGGACGCACTCAAATTTCTCTTTCTATTCTTTAATCTTTGCTTTTTTTTTTTTTTTTAAAATCTCACTTCCGATTGGCGAGGCAACAATCTATGATTGAGGCTGTTGAAATGATGGTTGAAAAGTTAGTGCATGAGATTAAAAGGAAGCACACAAACTCACCAAACTTCACCAAGAAGAACAAAACAAACTTTGCGTGTAGATATCTCCCTCCAATTCCAATCCATTGTCCATTGATGTGTTGCACATGATCGCCATCTGAAGCAGGTGAAGCCTTGTGCCATGGATAACTGAGGGAGGTTTCATATGAAATTGTGGAGGCTAGCTATGGATCAAGGAAAATTAGCAACTTCTAAGTTACATTTTAATTTGAGGGCTATTATCAATCGTAGGGAAGTGGGGATCCAATCATCCAATCTAACAAAACGTTTCCAGTCTTTCCTTTTCAATTCATATCAGATTCTAACATTTTCCAATATTTCGATTAAATAATTTACCGTGGGTTTCTTAATCATTATGTTTTATCGGGTTTGGGACAGTGCTTAAGAGTCCATGGTCAAACAGGGTCGACTGTCTATGCGTGCCCCAGCTTGGTGATCAGACTGAGACCTTCCTAGCTAGATCAATCACAGCCAGTTAAAATGACGATTTCGATATTTTTTATAACTTGAGTCAAAATTGGTCCAACGAAATTTCTGCTCTGTTTCCATCTGTTGAAAAGCTTCAAAGCTTTCTCTCCAGGAAGGTTTCTATTCATTTTTAGAAAGGGCAGTCCTACTTTGTTCCGAAAATTCCAGTTCAAAAAGTAATAATAATAATCTCTTTCCCAAACAAGTTCATGAACTTGCCACATGCATTAGAGGCAAGTTGAATAAAAAGAAATTGAGCTGTGACGACAGTGAAAAACAAACATTAAAGATGAAGAATCATATTGAGGTCATGATATTCACACTTATAAGGAAGAAAAAAAAAGGTAAAACCCATAAAAAAATGAGTTTATTATATTTTTTACCTGAACTTTGGGAAAATGTACAAATTGGTACATTTTACACCCTGAATTTTTAAATAATGTATTTTTTAAATTCAAACTCTAATATTATTAGTTTGAATGTCATGTGATAAAACATGATTAACCTATTCTAGATATTTTTCAATCTTTTTTATGGTTCAAGTAAATTAAAATATATATTTTTAATTTATATTGAAAAAGTATGTTGATAATGTGTGTTGAATTAATAACTTGATAATATTTGTCAACTATCTTATATATAAACTGATATGATTAATGAGATTAAAGTTTTGATTAATATGATATATAATTATAAAGTTTAGGTATAAATTGTACATTTTATTTTTTTAGATACCAATTTATATATTTTTTTAAAATTCAAAAATCAAAAGTATAATTAACTACAAAAATTTTGATATCTAGATATAGAAGAAATTAGTGTTTAATAGACTCGTTTTATTTTCTATTTAATTGCTTCAATTTCTTTTGCATGAAATCAGAATTATATATTAATTCTTCTGGTACTTCAATATGTTTGGTTTTATTGTCTTCAATTATTGCCACATAAGTTGTCTTAATTAGATTAAGGAGACTAATTTAAATGGTCCTTGTCATGCCTTGTAAGTCGTTCTTCTAGCTATGGTGCTTTTAATTTTTCAAACCGCCCCATAACAAACAGTAGAAAGTAAAAATCAACGAACATGTCCCCCCATCTTTAATGTAGTAATCGTTACAAATTTGGAAATTTTCTTTCATGAGAGATGCTATATTTTTATTTTAAGAAATGGAAAGATTTAAACTCAATTCTTTGAAAAAAAAATTATATATTAATAATTGAATCAAATATTTGAATGTATGAGAAATATTAATTTAAAATTTATTATAATTAATCGTATGATTTGATAAGAAAGTATTATATTTTTAATTTTAACGATTGTGGTTCAATCTTGATAATCTTAATATATATATATATAAGTATTGTAATGGAGATAATAAAAATTAAATACAGGTGATTGACTTCAAAAGCATACATTGCAAGCAACGTCATCAAGTTACACAAAAAAAAGTGCAAGAAAATTTGAGAGAAAAAAAAAACGTCAAAATAAACCTCCAAATAACGATGACTACAAATTAAATCCAATCCACTCCAACGATGACATGAGAAAATCAACTCACGTAATATATATGGGTGAAAAATGTCTACAACTGAATGAAATTTCCAAATTGTTGATAGGAAAACTAATATGAAACCTACATAGGGAAAGTTTTATGAATACTGAAATTTATAATCTTATAAATCACACATTGAATTTTAATTATTTTTTGTATTTAAAACTATTAAAATTTGAATTCTGATAACTGAAATTCAAAGTTTAATACTCTATCAATAAATCATGCAACTATTGACTAGATTTTAACTGACGTAATATGTGTTTGCAGACAACTTAACAAATGCTACTATAACTTTGGTTAGCATCTCATTTCAAAGGTGAGCAACTTATATCGTGAAACTTCGGGAAAAGACTCCTCATCAAACAAAAAATTGGATGCATGGCAACTACTATTTTGAATGGCAACTACTATTTTGAAAGTTATAGGAAACTATTCACTTCTTAAATCTTGACTAAACGTATATAGACAGGTAAAGAGAGATGATGTTGGTGATTTTTTTTTTTTCTTAAAATGAAGAAAGGGACATTTCTCATGTCATTGAGTAAGGTAATACATGCATTTTTCGTTGGATGTAAAATGTTTTATTTGTTTGTAAAAGAATTGTACTATTTGTATTTGCATATTCACGATTAATTAATTTATTTTTTTTAACAAATTAACTAGATAAAATTACTAGGAAAACAATTGTACCAAATGCCACCCAAATCTCCAATTTGGATAAAACCGGCCGCTGAGTCATTTCAGCTCAGAAACTTTAATTTTCCTCCAATAATGTTGTCTGTCAAAAGATTTGACCTCATACTTGCCTTTTTTTATACAGAACATCAAATTTGCTGCTGGCCCCATTATTTTGGCACTATTTCCATGCTAGGGGACTTCTATATAAATGTCAGTTACAACTCTCGTTTCTTAACCCACACTATCTCCGCTTCTGTCTGATTAACCCTTTCTCTCATTAATTCTTCTCTTTCTCTCCCGTGCTTATAGCCATGACAAATTCCAGTCATATGGTGAATTTCGCTTCTTCGAGAGGCTTTTGCACTACCTTCAAATCTGATTGCAAAGAAACTTTCTTCCCTGATGATCCGTTTCATAAGTTCAAGGATGAGAAACCTTTGCACAAAGCCAAGAAAATCATTCAATACTTCATCCCATTGTTTGAATGGTTACCCAAATACAACCTACGTTTGCTTAGATATGATTTGCTTGCCGGTATCACCATTACCAGCCTTGCAATCCCTCAAGGAATCAGCTATGCCAAACTCGCTGATCTTCCTCCTATCATCGGCCTCTGTAAGCTCAAAGATGCATTAATATTTTTTAATAATTTTCCCAACTTCGCTAAGAATCTCCGAAAATGTGATGGATCAATTTTTATGCTGCAGATTCGAGTTTTATACCGCCTTTTGTTTATGCCATTTTCGGAAGTTCAAAACACCTTGCGGTGGGAACAGTGGCGGCAAACTCACTGCTTATAGCTGAAACGATTGGAAATAAAGTATCACCAAAAGACAATCCCACATTGTATCTTCACTTAGTTTTCACAGCCACTTTCTTCACCGGAATTTTCCAGTTGGCTTTAGGATTTCTGAGGTCGGTGATTTATAACCATTTCTCGAATGACTTTGTGTTTGCAGTATTTAATTTCATAATTTTCTTCTTATTTATTCATATTTTTTGTTCAGGCTGGGAATTTTGGTTGATTTCTTATCACATTCTACTATCACTGGTTTCATGGGAGGGACTGCTATAATAATTTGCCTGCAACAATTAAAAGGCATATTTGGTTTAAAACATTTCACAACTCATACTGATGTGGTTTCGGTTCTACGTGCAGTTTTCAGCCATAGAAACGAGGTTTGAGAAGGACAACATTTGATAGATATTATTATTATTTGTTTTTTAGACAAAAAGCAAAAGTAATTGCCAAACAGAGCCTATTGAATTTGCTATTTATTTATAGCATTGCTTAAAATTCTAAGAGAAATGGTTTTTATATATAAATTCCATGGAAAGTGAGCAGAAAATTCTTGTGTTGTGCAGTGGAGGTGGCAAAGTGCTGTTGTTGGTGTAGTCTTCCTTTGTTTCCTCCAATTCACTCGATACCTGGTGAGCTGTCTCTTTTAACCTTTACCCAAAGCCTATAAGAAAAACATTTGATATTGTAGCAATTACTCTTTATAGATCATGGCTGATCTTCATAATATGAACCAACAAATAATTTCTAAACCTCTACTGTGATTTAATATGACTATATCTTTTTTACCATGTATTTCAGAGGCAAAGAAAACCAAAGTTATTTTGGATATCAGCTATGTCTCCAATGGTCGTTGTTGTGGTTGGTTGTCTTTTTGCATATTTTGCCCATGCAGAAAAACATGGAATCAACATTGTGAGTTCATGTTTAATTAGATTTGCTGTCAGTAGTTTGATCACATAGACAATCTTGTTTTATTACTCTTAACCGTTTGGTTTTTTTTTATTTTTTATTTTAGGTGGGTGACTTGAAGAAGGGATTAAATCCTCCCTCAATTCAACATTTGAACTTTGAAAGCCAATATCTTCCGGTTACTGTGCGGGCCGGTCTTGTCACTGGGCTTATTGCATTGGCCGTGAGAATCCCAACTTTCTTTTTTTCTTTTATGTTAATAGCAGTTTATCATTTTTATCAAACTTTATTAAGTTAATGGAGCTGTGAAAATACTATAATTGAATCATCTTCAAAATGAAACTTCCAGGAAGGGATAGCAATCGGACGAAGCTTTGCCATCATTAAAAATGAACAAACTGACGGGAACAAGGAAATTATAGCCTTTGGTTTCATGAACATCATTGGATCTTTCACTTCATGCTACTTGACAACAGGTATATATATAATGATGCTTCAATATTTCAAGTTTTCTTTTTAACATTTAATTAATATGCTTCTGATTTTTTGTTGATGTTTGATTTACAGGGCCATTCTCAAAAACAGCTGTGAATTTCAATGCTGGGTGCAGGACAGCAATGTCCAATGTAATAATGGGATTTTGCATGATGTTAACACTCCTGTTCTTGGCTCCTCTCTTTAGTAACACCCCTCTGGTAGCTCTATCCGCCATTATCATGTCTGCAATGCTTGGCCTAATCAACTATGAGGAGATCATTCACCTCTTTAAAGTCGACAAATTCGATTTTGTCATCTGCATGGCTGCCTTCCTTGGTGTTAGTTTCATAAGCATGGATGTCGGCCTCATGCTTTCCGTAAGGATTTCTTCCGAGAAAAGACAATCAAAAGAAGTATTGAAATGAAGAAATATATATTTCTGTTTCATTTTTCAGCATTTTAAACTGAAATACTATCTTTTATTTCAGGTAGGACTTGCCTTACTCAGAGCACTTTTGTATGTGGCAAGACCTGCTTCCTGTAAGCTTGGAAAAATTCCAAACTCAAGTTTATATCGTGACACAGAGCAATACCCTGGCTCGACAACAATAGAAGGAATCCTAGTTCTTCAACTTGGCTCCCCTATTTATTTTGCAAACTGCACCTATATAAGAGAAAGGTATACATCTTCATGGAAAAACAATGTATACAGATTAGAAAAAAGTTCTTAGTATCCAGAAAATTATGGTCATTAATCATTGTAATTTCTAATTTGTTTTGGATGAATTTTGAGCAGGACTCTGAGGTACGTTCAGGAGGAACAGGGCATTTCAGATTCTAAAAGTGATGTAATTGAGCATGTTTTGCTAGATTTGTCAGGTAATTATCATGTTCCCACAAAATCCACGACCAAATAAAATATAGTTACTTGTACCACTTGCCGACTCCACTAATCTTGTAGTGCCAATTCAAGCTACTACTATTAAACAACCTACAGCCAAGACATTGAATTTTGGTAGAACCTTTTTTTTTGGGTTAATATCACAAATAATTTCGAATTATAATAAAAAATTTAATATGATATTTAAATTTTAAAAATTATTAATGTGATGTCTAAATCTTTATATTATTAACTTCAAACAATAACTCCGACAAACAACTATTTATATATCATATTAATTAATAAATTCATAATTAAAGTACATATTAAATTTTTTTTAAAATTTAAATATTATATTAAATATTTTACTATAATTTAGTGATGTTAACCCCTCTTTTTCAAGAAAAAAAATTTAAGAAATCATGTATCAATGAGACAGTAACCATCATATCCATATTTAACGGAAACCATCATCTATGTTTATAAATTTTGACTGATACACTAGACGATGGCGGTTTGCAGGAGTTTCATCCATTGACATGACAGGGATTGAAACATTCGTTGAAATACGTAGAATTCTGGACGCAAAGGGTATCAAGGTAAACTAAAACATGTTCCCTTTTCATTTAAGCTTGGAGTTTTAAAAGAAAGAAAGAAATTAAGAATCCGTGTTTAATTCATCTTTTGCAGTTAGCAATAGTAAACCCCAGGATTGAAGTTCTGGAGAAAATGACCTTAGCGAAATTCACGGATGCCATTGGCAAGGAATCTTTCTACTTGTCTATTGAAGATGCAGTCCAAAGTTGTCTATTTACACTTAACAGTAAGAAAACAGCCACAGAATCCTCAAACGACCAAAATGTTGCTTAAAAGATACTGGCTATATGCATATATATATATATATATATATATATGTATGTGCCTATGAATCATCAGTCTTTAGTTCAATTAGCACCATAAATCCAGGGAGTTTTCCAGGTCTAGAATTCGATCATCCCTTTGAACATCAACAAAGGGGTTAATAAATAATTTGTTGTGATGATGCTAGTATGTTTTTTCTGTTTATTGGAGAGAAAACACAGAATAAAAGAAAGGTGCCTAGCCGGTGGCTAAGCTGGGCTATGTTGCTGGTAATCGAAGTTAGGCCAAGTAGTAGTAGTAGTAGTTGTTGTATTTGTTGTTGTTGTTATGTAAATGATGAGAATCATGAGATAGTCCTCTGTTTGGATAAATATGATCGTTTTTGTAACTTCTTTTTTCATGTTTTCCCATCTCTTCAGCTTGTCGTTTGATAATATTTTTGAATTGGAGGATGAAGCTCATGTACTTTTACCATGGTAATAAAGCTCAACCAGTTCTTTTTTTTTTCCAAGAACAACAAGACTTTTCATTTTTGACATGAATTTAAGGCGCATCAAGGCTTCCAAGATATCTGAATTTCTCCAACAACATAAGCTCTATTGATTTCAAATTATGATGAGTAAATCCTTTTTGACAAACAAAGTTAAAAAAAAAAAAAAATTGTAACCGTTAAAACTGGAAATGTCATTCTTATTCAAAACTTTCATCCTCCACCCACAGGCCCAGTGGCCTATTCCTATGTCCTAATAATTCATGAACAGAACTAAACATGCTAAACTAGTTTGATGAAGTGGAAAATGGTATTACAATCAAAGAAAGAATAAGCACAATCATCATAATTGAGTGGAGGAACCAAATGGTCGTGGTTATTTAATGTTGTTCCTTTAACATGGTAATCTTGCCCAATTTCATTTGTAGGCCAAATTCTTTTCTCAATATTTTCACTTTGTTTGGTTACCTGAGAAACAGACTTTAATAGTTTCCATTTATGAGCACTCTATTTTCGTTCATTTGGCAGGTCTCAAGACTCAAATAAAGGTAAATTTTCTACAGTTCTATAACTGTATTTATATGATTAAATCCTTACTTTACTAGTTCTCAGTAAACATAACCTGCACTTTTTCCTCCAAATTAAGTTCAGATTTATGAACACGGTGCATTATTTATTCAATACAGAGATATTGTCTCTGTTTTCAATTCATAGGTAATCAAGATTGTCCAACACTTTTTTGCCATAAAAAATGATCACTGGAAAGTAGTTATACCATTTAATCCCTTAAGAAATTGGAATTTGGAGTCCATTTTGGCCTTTATAGCAATTACCATTCTTTTTTTTTTCTTTGAGAAACGAAATGTTAGGTGAAGTTTGTGGTTCCTCACTGCCTCTGAGCGGCATTATCTGCATTTTGAAAGAAAATGATCGATAAACTTTACATGGAATTTATCCACAGCAGCTTCCACGCTGAACTTCAGATTGTACTTGCTTTCTTCTTCTGAAGATGTGATGGTTCAGATATGACGTGCAGTGACTCACAGGTAATTTCTATATTCAGATGCTACCCTAAAATTTATCTGAGAAATTATAAATGATTCTGATGATCTCAAGTTATAATGGAAGTTGTTAATGATGCTTGAATATTGATCAACTCCAACTGCTATAATTCTGTATTAGCCAATTTGGTCAAAGTTCATAATAAATTCGTATCGCTAGAGTACAACTCCCTGCTTCTAACTTGCACACTCCAACTCTATACGCCATGAAATATTTGTAAACTAAAACCTGTAACCTTGAAGGCATAAGCAAGTAAATGTGGGGAAAAGCCTTGTTGCTGTTAAATTCCCTATGTATTGTGATCAAGTTTTCAATGGCCAACACAGTGGCTCAAAAAACATGCAGGGAGCTGAACTTCAGGAAAAATTCTGACAAGCTGGAATTTGTACCATTTTCTAAGGTTTATAGAAGGCAAAAAAAATACCAGCAGTCACTTCTTAGTTCCCCTATTGCCATTTCAACTGGTCTGAATGAATAGGCTATTACACTAGTTATCTTGATCTGGTATGGTAATAGACTCCCCCCATAGAAGCTAAGCTGCACAAATATGATTCACTATGATCAAGGGAGGTTACGTGGTAGCTACTGGTTAGAGGTATGTAGCGTAGCACTTAGTAGACAGCAACAGACCTTCACTGCTACCACTTATCTATGTTTTAGCAAAGAGTTTCTTTTGCTTGTACACACTGCGGAAGGCCAATAACAGTATTCTAAATTTTTTTTTCTGAGGTGATTTAGGAAAGAAAAACACTCCATTAGGAAGAGCAAATTGCAACCGTCTTTATTTTACTTTTCTGATGCATCATTTTGTTTCTAGTGTGATATGTTGAACTCATGATAAAACAATGGGATCAAATGGTGATGTCCTCTTTTTGTTGTCTGTTTGGGAAATTGTCTTGTATGGTTACTTGAATATCATTATCACATGGGTGAACTTTGAGAAGTGGATTAGGTTCCCATGGCTTTTGCTTGTCTCTACCTGTAACAGAAAAATTCTCAAGTATATTTCCTGTCCCATTCTCTTGATTAGAATTTTTCTTGCAGAACAAGCATACTAAGTATGTACTGCATTCATGTTCCTTGATTGGAGTTTGGCCCTATATATGAATAATTTTATAGCTATACCATTGATTTGTTATTGTATTTTCGATTCATGAACCCCCTCCCCCGATAAAAATATCGAATATGCCTCATCTGGAGATTTCATGAGCATCATCAAATTCACCATTTTCATACAATTTTTGTAACATATGACTCCTAAAATGTAACGGTACTTCTGATCTATTTGTGTCAAATTTATTTATTCCTTTTGAAATTTGGATTAGAAAGGTTGTTTTACTTCTATATATTTATTCCTCATATTGGATTTGGTGTTGAGTTGAACAATTTAAACTACACCCTGTAACCCTCCTAGTTCCAAATCTGCATTATATGTAAAGCTTATAATTTTAGCAGACTGTGGGGACAAATGTCGCCACTATTGCTGATTCTTGTTGCTTTTTAGTTGAGCTGAGATGGCAGTGACTTGCGCCACATCACCAGCTCTCATCCGGACAGCATATTCCAGCTGTTATGCACTAATTTTCAGGTGCACCAAGGAAATTTTTTCTGAACTCTATAGGTTAGCTAGCTGTTTCACTTGAATCACATATTTCAAGTTCAGTATTTTACAGAATCATATCATACGGTATTTTAAACAAAGGCATTTAAAAAAAAAAAAAAAAAGATAGAAACAATTTCAGGAGTAAAAACTAGAAATTTCTAATTAAATTCCAGCGGCTAAATTTATTCGTGGAGTTGCATTGGGGGAGTTACTAGTGTTTTCACATGTTCAATCATGCAACCATGTCAAGAAAATTATCGATATTGCCATACATCCCATCATCTATTTATATTTTGGTTGGTAGATGGTTGAACTTGTGATTCATAGCACTCTTAATGCTTTTTTATATTTGTGGTTGTGCTCTTGATGGAGCCATCCTGATCACTGATCAGTTCTAATCAGCGACCATGAAAACATAAGCTGACCCACATTTACATTTTTGGCAGTAAATAGTAAAGCAGGTTCCATGCTTGAAAAGTAAAATTGTTTGGTCGTACGAGCAAGAGCAGCCCTGCCCCCTCCAGGTGGGACCTGATTCACTGCACCAGCAAATAATCTTGTAACTCTCCATTTCCATCTTAGAAATTGACCTCACAGAATTTTCTGTTGCCTTTATTTCTTGTGTTGGCTGACCTGTATCTCTTCTGTATCCATATACACCCAAACCCAAAAAAAAGACTAAAGCTTTCTCCTTTATTTTTTGTTCCCTTGCCCTTGCAATGCTAGTTATACTTATCCCTGTGATGCTTTACACTTTTACAGATGCAAAGTAATTTCCTAAAGGAAAAAGATGATAAAGCAGAAAATGTTATGCACCCTGTTCAGATTCTGTAAATATTTGGATCCAAGTCGTTTTAAAAAAAAAAAAATTCGTTCAAAAAATAAATTATAAGTAATAGGATTTGAATTTTTTTATATTTATTATTTATATTTTTATATGTAAACAGGTTACTTAAGGACGTCAAAGCAGATTCTTATCACTAATTCATTGCTTTCTTTATTCTTTTCTTTACATGTAAAATAATATTGTTATTCGTATGTCTGGTAATAACTAAGATTTTGTTCATTCTCTTTTCTTTGGGTTTATTCGATTTGCTGTCTAACAATAAACCTTTTTTAATTTAACAATCATTTATTAAAAAAATTACCCAATCATGACTAATCATTTGATATTCTCTCTGTTAAGGATTATTTACAGCAAGAATCAAAACAATCATAAACACCTAAAACAGTATAAAAGAAAAAAAAATAAAAAAAGGAAAGTTTCCAGTATATATCCTTTTTCCAGGTTCTTCTGTTAGCTTTTTATTTCTTTAATTTTTTTCCTAGAGTTAATAATTAGTCAGGTAGGAGAAACCAAGCTGGCATTTTTAATTTAAGTTTTTCTTAACACAAAGGAGATGGAAAAAAAAAATTGCAGGGGATTTGAATTTAATATCTATTAAATATTATTTCTAAATAAATTTTGAAAATTTGTTTTTCTTTTTTGGTTGTTTTGAAAGCGAATCCGACTTCTGTGTATGGTTAGGTTGAATGGTACAGGATTTTTTGTTCTCACATGCCGACAGGCTTACAAATAAATATGGAAAAGCAAATAGATTTCAGTTTAAGCACAAACCTCTTTTCTCCCCTGATTCCTCTGAAATTCACATGAAATGCTTCTTCAAATGGGCGAAACATATAAAGCTTCATAAATAGCATGAACAGACCACTGGTTTTTGCATGCTCAGGTTTTGTAGTGTGATGCGGCTTATCACCCAACTTGGCATGGAACAAAATTTTCTAGTTGGTTACTTGGATCTTAATTATAGACATTCAAAATTGCAACTTACTTTAAACTTGGCTCTAATTAACATTCTGATCAAGTCAAGTATATTTCAAGATATTAAATTCATCTTACACCTAATTTTACATTTTCAACTTAAATGATAGAGTTACAAATTGCAATCATTTTCAAAATTATCGCGAATTTTACATTCTTTAACATTCTATTTGAGGTGAGATATAGTCACTACAATCAAGCATAACTCTTATTACAATACCAAACAAGACCTTAATTACTTCATTTGATTATAAGTTAAATTCCAGTGGTTTTTTTGAATTCCTTCCTTAATTTGCTACATCCCTCCTTTCCTTATGAATTCATTTTTTACTTCCTTTATACTAATAAACAAAGCAAAACACTGCTTAGTTAGTACCATTAAGTTGTACAACACCTAAATATTAGATAGACATTGATTGTTTTTACACATAATAAATACACGAATCAATCTATCGCATATATAACTTAATCGTCCTAATTATGCTTATATATTATGCAGAAAAAAAACG